CCTCCCCCCTTCCCTGCTTTGTCTCTGTTTAAATAGATAGGAAAAAATTTAAACCATGAGGTTGTTTCCTTCCTGTTTAAGAGCTGTGATTTCCTGGCTCCTAGGAATGGTGATTCCCTAGTTCTGCCTACCCTAGGCCTTGGGCCTGGGCAGGACCCATCGCCCTAGCCGCTGGTTCCTGAGCCACACTCTGAGCTCTTGAAGGTTCAAAGTGGGGGACTTGGACCGTTGTCTGCTGCTGGTCCCATTGTGTACCCACTCCCTCATCTCTTCTGGGTACCTTTTGGCTTCCCACTAATTTGGTTTAGCCATTTTCTCAGCTAGAGGTTAGCAGCACAGGCTTTACCTGGGTTTGGACCTTGACTCTACCACTTACTTCCTAGTTCTTCAATCTCTGTGCCTCAGTTTCCTAATTGGCAAATAGTACCTATCTCAAAGGGATGTGATGAGGATTAGGTGGCTTGATAGGGCTCACTTACTGACTCGTAGGGGTCATTTTTTAGAGTTACTGCCTGGGAGTCTCTGCTACATTTGCTTGTCTGTTGCTGATTTTATGGCTGTCCTCTATCTAGTGTGACCTGCTCTGTCTGTCGCCTTGTGCCTATTTTGTAGATTTCCTTTCACCAGCTGCCTTTGGTCTCTTCCTTTTGGTGGGACAGCTCACTGTGCTGAGAGGACTGGCCTGAGGTAGATTCTGAGTCCTTTTGTTTTCCCTGGGGCTGCATCGCCATTGTCCTTTAATTCCTGGAGAATTGTCCTTTTATTCCATTGCTGGCACGATGACAAGAGACAGGAGTGTGGTCTGAATGCAGCAGGAATGCCACAGCTCCAAACGGCATCCTTAGTCATGAGGAAGACCAAGAGACATTGGCTCCCCTGTTGTGAGCTTAGTTGGGGTCAAATAGGGGAATTGTAACTGAACGCCAGCCCTTTTCTTTTTCCACCGTGTTCGTGATCGAAGCCGTCATTCGGCTCTTGCTGTGTGCCAAGAGCAAAGATGTTAAGAAGCAAACATAGCTCTTAGCGTGGGGTGCACTGACGCCTGCGGGGAGGCAGCGTAGGGCATGGCCGGCAGCCCCACCCTGGAGCTGTGGGAGTCCAGGTCGGCAAAGGGATCACAGGCTGCTCAGAACGCCGGCCACATCACGCTCGGAGAGGCGTGTCAGGTGTTTCGCAGGCTCCGGAAAAGTTGAAAAGCACAGGGCTGGGGCTGAAGCCTGGTGTCAGGTGCCTAGGGCATGTGGGTGCTTCATTCCCTTGGAGCCTGCAAAGCAGTCCCGTCTTCCTCCAGTCGTGTTGATGGCCACAGTCCATCCGGAAGATGGCTCTGACAAAGACGGTGACACCACTTTGTGGAATGTTTCTAGCTCTCCCAGAAAGCCTCAGTAAATCCAGGCTGCCGACTGAGCTCTTAATGTGAAGTGGCAGCAGCGACCCTGGCAAGGCAGGGCTGACGTGCGTGGGAGCAGTGGGAGGGACCCTGGAGGGAGAGGGGCCTGGGCATTGTTGCTGCAGCTCTGTGCCGGCCACCGTCCTCCCCGTGCACAGAGCTCTCGGCGCCACGATGGCCCTCCCTGCCCGAGCACGCCCCTGCGTTATCCCAGAAGATGAAGAAGTCCCCCAGACAGCCCCTGACAGTGTCCCCGAGGCCAGTGGGAACGAAGACGAGAGGGCTGTGTCCAAACTGCAGCGCAGGCACAGTGATGTGAAAGTCTACAAGGAGTTTTGTGACTTTTATGCCAAGTTGTGAGTCTCGCCCCTTCCAGATCTCATGTCCTTGGGCTCTGAGTTCACTAGCCGTCTCCACCTGACTAACTTGTTTTTAAGCTCACTAGGCTCGGGGTGAGGATTTTCTGGGGTGGTCTGGGGTCTCTGAGGGTGGTCACAGGCAGCATGTTCCAGGGAGGCAGGCCAGTTGCCTGGCCTTGTCAGACTTCCCCTGGACAGCACGTAGATGTGAAGGGAGGTGCTCCTTCATGGTGAGCGTACAGTGCCTGTTCGCTGGGTCCCTGGATGCAGTGCCTTTTCGTCATGTGTCCATGGGCAAGGTTAGTTTTCAGGGTCAGAATTTACAGTAGAAATATATACTCTAAAACTTCCCAAATACAAGAGGCGGGTTGGGCAAAAAGGAGAAAAATTGAATTGCAGACTGTTGGTAAAGATTTTGGTTATGTTTAATAATTAGCAGTTTGAAGTAGGCTAACTGGTTTCTTAATCCTGTCTCCAAAGGGTTGAATGAATAAATAAGGATATTGTGTAACTACCAAGTCGTTGTATGTGTAAAACATGCTGTTAACTCTAAAGTTAGTCTAATTTACATAACTAAATGGATTTTAGCAACAGAATTTTTTTTTTTTAAGTTGGGGTCTCACTCTGTCTCCCAGGCTGTAGCGCAGTGGTACAGTCACAGCTCACTGTAGCTTTGACTGCCTGGGCTCAGGTGAGCCTTCCAACTCAGCCTCCGCAATAGCTAGGACTACAGGTGCCACCACTACACTCAGCTAATTTTTTTTATTTTCATTTTTTGTAGAGACAAAGTCTCACTATGTTGCCTAGGCTGGTCTCGAACCCCTGGGCACAAGCAATCCTCCCGCCTCCACCTCCCAAAGTGCTAGGATTACAGGCACGAACTGCTGTACCCAGCCTAGCAACCAGAATTTTTAAAAAGAGTGCAGAGCACCCTTCAGGCTAACTCCAGTAAGATTATTGACCTCATTCAAAGTTGTGAGCTTGTAGTTACTGCAACCCCCCCGATTTGTCAAGTAAAAGTTAAGGTGAATTTAACTGACCTTGTTCTATTTTCATAATCCATTCTGTGTGGTATTATAGCAAGTGTCATTTGTCTTCACAGCTCACAAAGAGCTCTATTTGAGAGTAGTTGGGGAATTATAATAGTACTGTAACCAGTATTTTAACTGCTTGGTGAACTCTCAAGGTGATCTTTGGATTTATACATTCTTTCATTTTAAGACCAAAATGTGTTTTACATACTATGGTAGGTGAGACCCTTGATTAATGGGAGGTGAGGTGATCTGAAGTTTGCTGTGAGGTTGATTTGTGGAAGTAGATCAAGTAAATCAACCATGATTGGCCCATTATGAAAGTTCTGTACTAAGGCTTTTTTTATTGTGTGTGTGTGTATATTTCTTGCCGTCAACACTTTTTAGTGAATATCTTTTTCTGGAAAATTATAACTAATCTAAAGGGAGCTATAACTGTCATTCACGACTTTAAAAAAGTAGCTTCTATCATATATAGTATTAAATATAAGGTCAACTGTAAAACAAAACAAATAAATAAAAAGCACAGTGCCAGAGGGTCAAAGACGAGAGGAAAAGGAAGCATGAATGGTGGGCGGTGGGGTGATCTCTTTCCTTTTCCCCCTGCTTGTTATTAGAATAAATACTTCTTGAAAAATACATATATTATTTCTAAGACTAGTTTATTTTTCCTCTGCGTAGGAAATAACTGTGCTTGTTACAATGTGTCTACTGATTTCCTAATTCTACCTGAGTATTTGAACTTGAATATAAACAGTCTGTAGTATAATGAGTATAAACAGGCCAGTGATAATCCAACATTTTGATCTGGATATCTCTTAACACTCAATTATTGAGGTTCCAAAAGAAATTTGTTTATCAATATTTACTGTGTGAGAAATTTAAACGGAAAAAATATAAATACGTATTTATTTAAAAATAACAAGATGGCCAGGCGTGGTGACTCAAGCTTGTAATCCTAGCACTTTGGGAGGCTGAGGTGAGAGGATTGCCTGAGCCCAGGGGTTTGAGACCTGCCTTGGCAACTTGGTGAGACCTCATCTCTACAATAAATCCAAAAATTAGCCGGGTGTGGTGGCACATGCCTGTAGTTCCAGGTACTTCGAAGGCTGAGGTGGAAGGATCTCCTGAGCCCAGCAGGTCCAGGCAGTGGTGGCTGTGAATGTGCCACTGCAGCTTGGGCAACAGAGTGAGACTCCAACTCAAAAAATAAATAAAGTAAAATAACAAGCCAATTACAGGTTAATAATTACAGTAAATGTCAATGTTTTATGGGGAAAAAAAGCCCTGTTTTCCAAAGTGGAAAAAGCTTAGAGGGAAAAATGGCATTGTGTTACATTCTGGGAAATCTTGTTAATGTCTGTCTTTTTTTGTTTTTTGTTCGCCTCTGCCTTCCAAAGTGCTGGGGTTACAGGTGTGAGCCACTGCACCCGGCTGATATCTGTCTTAATAAAAGACTTTCTTTTATCTGCTTCTGCATTCGACCTATCATAATATATTGTTTTAGATGAAATATATAAAGAAGCCAGGCTCAGTGGCTCAGCCTGTAATCCTGCGCCTTTGGGAGGCTGAGGTGAGTGAATTGCCTGAGCCTGCAGGTTCGAGACCCGCCTGGGCAACTTGGCGAGACCTCATCTCTACAATAAATCAAAAAAGTAGCGCATGCCTGTAATTCCAGTTACTTGGAAGGCTGAGGCAGAAGGATTGCCGGAGCCCAGCAGGTCGAGGCTGCGGTGGCCGGGAGTGGCCACTGCACTCCAGTCTGGGCGACAGAGTGAGACTCCAACTCAAAAAAGAAAAAGAAATATATAAAGAAATTGTGTCCTCCCACAAAGATGTAGTTAGAAAAGAGAGAATCTTTCAGATCCCTGAAAGGGTCATAGTGACCTCTACACTTTTAAAACCACTGATTTAGGTGATAATGTACCAGAAAGTTTCAGAATTTTCTTTTCCAACTTTTTTGGAGTTCCTGTAACATCATTAGGTTTGGTGGAGTTTTTGAGCATGTTTAGAATTAATAATAATGCTGTATGTTTGAGTAGCATTGTTTGGTTTCCAAAGTGGTTTGATGTGTTGTTTTCCTCAAAACAGTACTGAGAATTACCAGGCAGGTGTTGGGCTTACCACACTTCTCCATCAGGGGACACCTGTGGATTTGGTCAGGAGAAAGGAATAAGCACAAAAGTCTCTAGAACTTTGCTAAAACAGCCACTGATTTATGGTAAAGCTGGATGAAGGTGAGAATTTTACAGATTTTTCCCCCCAACTCACAATAATTTTGAAATGACAAGGTGGAGATTCATTTTAATATACCCAGGTTTGCCAAGCAGCGAGGCTGTCTCCCTCTCTCCTTTTTTCTTCTCCTTTCTTTCCTTTTTTTGGGGAGGGGAGGGGCAGTATTTTAACTCTGTATTCAAGCCTATTAAATAAAGTCGAGTTTTGATTGGCATGGGACGATGAACATGGTATTTCTGTGTGGAGTTACTTATGGCAAGGCTACAGAATAGGATGACTGTTTGTGACACATTGGCAGAGGAAGGCGAAGTGTACAGTTGTCTTCCATGGGGGTGGAGTGGAAGTTGAAACAAGGCAGGAGGGACCACTTCTGCTAAGGAAACAGCAAAACTTGGAAACTGGTGGGACAAGGCATAGTGATTCTGTCCTTCAAATGGAGACTCCAGCTGTCTCACAGGGTAGTTGTGGAGATTCAGGAGAGCATCGATGGTAGCTTCTTCGCGAGGTGGAATGCCGGAATCGCTGCGAGCTCAGCAACTGCGCCAGGGACCAAGTGTGCTTGCGCTCTGGGTGGCGTTTGAAAGTACAGTCGCCAAGTTGTGAAGGACGATCGGGTCAGTGGCTCCTCTGTGTAGGACATCGTCTCCATTTCCGGACTTTGAGACACAAAATGGGGTTTCATGTTAAGTCTTCATCCAATTATGTGCCTGTCAAAGAGAGCCGTGTTGCTTTTCTTCTTCCAAACCACACAATGATTAGAGAGAACTTGGGGTCATGGATCGAATGCCTTCTTGTTTTAAGGTGCAGTGCAGTTACTGCTGAGGGAATGTCCCACATTCCCGGGCCAGCAGTGGGCACTTGATGGCCTGATTTCACTTCCCTGACCTGTAGAACGCAGCGGTGTCCCTGCCGTGTCTTCAAGTGTCTGAAACTCGTTTTGTCGTCAGTTTTGATTGACTGTGTGATTTCCAAGTAGGGACCTGCATCCCAGTCCTTCTGTCAGCTAGCTGACTTTATGACCTGGGCCCATCATGCCGCCTCTGTGAACCTGTCTTGCCTTCAGTGAAGTGATCTTGATCATGTAAAACTGTACTTTTTTGTTTGTTGTTTTTTTTTCTGAGTTGGGAGTCTCACTGTGCCACCTAGGCTGGAGGGCCGTGGCATGCTCCTGGCCACCCCGGCCTTGACCTGCTGGGCTCAGGCGGTCCTTCTGCCTCAGCCTTCCAAGTAGCTGGAACTACAGGCACACACCACCATGCCCGGCTAATTTTTTGGTTTTTATTGCAGAGATGAGGTCTTGCCAAGGCTGGTCTCGAACCCTTGGGGGCTCAGACAGTCCTCTCACCGCAGCCTCCCAAAGTGATGGGATTATAAGCGTGAGCCACCACGCCTGGTCAAAACTCTGTTATTTTTATTATTTTATTATTTCATTATTTTTTATTTATTTATTTATTTATTTATTTTTTCTTTTGAGTTGGAGTCTCTCTGTCACCCAGACTGGAGTGCAGTGGCCGCTCCCGGCCACCGCAGCCTCGACCTGCGGGGCTCCGGCGATCCTTCCGCCTCAGCCTTCCGAGTAGCTGGAATTACAGACACGCGCTACCACGCCCAGCTAATTTTTTGATTTATTGTAGAGATGAGGTCTCGCTGCCCAGGCGGGTCTCGAACCCGCGGGCTCAGGCAATCCACTCACCTCAGCTTCCCAAAGCGCGGGATGACAGGCTGAGCCACCGAGCCCAGCTAACTCTGTTACTTTTAAGACACATTGTATGGTCTTGGTATATGGCATTCATTCGTCTTAATGTGCTCATTAATAGGACTGGAGCATCATGGCTGGTTTTAAGACTTACTTAAGCAGTTGCTCTCAACAGGATTTAACCAAAGGGATAACCTGTGTGTGGTCTGTGACTTGGCACTCAGTTGACACGCAGTGCAGATTCTGTTCTCAAAGAGAAGTACATTGGCCTTGAGATGTTGACTTGTGGATATTTTAATTAAGCTACTTGTCAAGCTGTGAGCCGAAGTTCCTTGAGGGCAAGCCATGCCTCTCCTCTTTGTCCCAAGTGCCTACTCATGGTAGGCACCCACTCATTCTACACTTAGCAAGAAGAACGCCAGAAATGTGAAAGAAACAGAATCAAAGCAGGAGACCCTTACGGAACCTAAGGCACCAGGGCAGAGATTGGACTGTCCAAGTTAGTGTACTTAAGGGGCCAGCAGGAAATTGAGCTTGTCGACAAAAGACGACTTTCGAGATCAAGAACTCCGCCGCTCTTCGTATGGTTTGGGCTGAAGTCTGAGAGGAGGTCGATAGTCTGTGACCGCTGTCCTTTGTGTGTTGCAGCAACATGGCCAATGCCCTCGCCAGCGCCACTTGTGAGCGCTGCAAGGGGGGCTTTGCGCCTGCCGAGAAGATTGTGAACAGTAACGGAGAGCTGTACCATGAGCAGTGTTTCGTGTGCGCCCAGTGCTTCCAGCAGTTCCCGGAAGGACTCTTCTATGAGGTGAGTGGAGCTGGCGGAGTCAGGAGCCGCCATTCCCCGCCCCTCGTCCCCTCTTTTCGGAGGCCTCCCTCCTCCGTCACTCGATTGTGTTATCAGAGATTACACGAAGTGCCAGGTACGTGCCCAGTATTTGGTGGCTGTCAGGTCAGCAGAGGCATAGATGGAACATGTGGGCAGCTGAGGTGGGATGCCCTCACAGACCCCACCATTTGGGTCGTTCAACTCAGGACAGGACTTGCAGTGCCTTGTGACTCGGCCTTTCAGACCCAAGCAGTTCAGCTTCACGTGCAAACATCCTTCCAGAATCTTCAGCAGCAGGCTTTCTGGCTTCCCCACGCAGGTCCCTGCTTGCTTGCCCTGTGCATGCCTGGCCGATCCCTGCGTCTGTGTCCTTCCTTCTTCTCAGGAGACCACTGGACATCCTCTCGGAAGGCGAGTGTGTGGTGGTGTCACTCACTCCACAACGTCTATCCATGAGGAGGAGCTTCCATGCTTGTGCTTCCTAGAGAACGGGCATTCTGGGAAGCCATGCTGTCGATGTGCAGCTCCCTAGAGAACGGGCATTCTGGGAAGCCATGCTGTCGATGTGCAGCTCTTCTGGGTGTCTGTGTGCTTTTCCACGTGCTTGTTTTTCTTGATCCTCAGGCTACCTCGTGCATACCTCCTTTGTGGTCTATTCAGTATTTTTACCATTACCGGAACTGATTTTTCACAGTAAACATGTATTTTGGGGGATGGTCTTGGGAAGCTAACCCAAGGTGTAAATGAGAGTGAGAGTAGGGGGCGGGGTGAGTGGTTAATTAGGTAATTCCCTTTTAACACCTATTCTTACATACTTTGTGTGTGTGTGTGTGTGTGTGTATGTATGCATCTCCATATGATAGTATATGCAGGCATAGTTGTTTTATTGCCAGAGGTGCCTGCTCTCTGATTTCTTCTTCTGTGTAGCAGATTTTTAATTTCTCTGTTTTACAAGCCATGCCTGAGGAAGGAAAGGGAGTGTACAAAGGTTGTTAGCAGTCAGTGGGTTGCCATTCTGGCAGTATTTTCCTATAGCAACAATCCTCACTGGGTGAGGTACCCAGGCCGGCTGCAGAAAAGCTGTTTACCCCATCTTGAGTGCATGAAACGCAGAACTAGCACGTATGCAGTCATGTAATTCTGGGAGGCAACTTTAAGAGCTCTGCCGAGGGAATGCTATTTTATTCATTAGTACACGTCTTTGAGCTCCAGCTGTGTCCCAGAAATCTGAATTCCCTATGGCAAAAGCCTTGTAGTGGGAGAGGGACCTTTTCTCTTTCCTTCTGGTTCTTCCTTCCTCCTTTTCTGGGCCGTGGGAATCTCTTCTTTGTCAAGGATGGTAGCTTTGGGGATGGGAGGGGCAAGTGGCCATCATGGATGGGACAGGCGCGGGAGAGGCCAGTGTCCAGCGGCAGCAGAGCAGAGGGTGGGGCAGGAGCTCCTGGGGAGTGATGGCGGCACCAGGCTGGAGACCCCCTGCTGAAGCTGTCAGTGGGTGGCGCTCAGTCAGGAGGAGGAAGAGGAAAGCCCTGGGGGCTGAGGCACCTGGAGGAGAAGGAGCATGTGCTGGTGAGGGTGGTGGGCCGTGACTCAGTCCGGGCAGAGGGACCTGAGAACCCGCGTTGGCAGAGTGGTGACGAAAGGCTCCCAGATTCCTACCTCAGCTGCGGGGAGGCCTGCCAGGACCACGGCCAGGAAAGACCGAGACACACTCAAGGGAGTCCTAGCACTCTGGCTCCGGTGGGAGTGTTCATCTTCATGTCCCCCCCTCCTTCTTTTCCTCCTGTTGTCCAGAGAGGATGAGATGCCTTTGACAGCACAGCAGTTTCCACATGAGCGAGATGAGAGCCTGGCTGATCTTGAGTATCTGATCCAGTATTTTCTCCTTTACATACCCATTTTCAATGTGAGTGTTTTTATTGAAACGGTGACTATGGCAAAGGGCTCGGGAGCAAGTCCAAAGGACATTCTCTGCGTTCCCCTGGCCTGCTGTTGCTTTTGAGAACCCCTGGGCCCAGCCCTGGCCCTCCTTTCTCCCCGTTGTCCTCTGCCTACCCTTTCGGAGTGAATCCTGTTGTTGAGCCCCACTTCATTAACCAGCGGGACCGCTTCCTGAGCTCTGGTTCTGGCCCCTCTTGGACCTGGCCCGCCAGCTGCAGGCCTGGTGCTGAGTCAGAGGGAAGGCCTGGGAACATCCTTGAGCCGAGCTGAGCACAGCATGACTCACTCTCGTCCTGCTGCCCGCCCTTGTGCGGGCTGTAAATAGCCTCCCTGGTGTTCTTCCAGAGGGTGCTGTGAGTCCCCAGAGCCAGACTGTCAGCAGGCTCTTGCCCAGCTTAAGCACTCTCGGGGTCCTGCGAAAGATCGCTGTTGTGGCCACAGTGCTTACCATTTAACCCTCTTTTCCAAGCCAGGAAACCTGTAAACCTGCATGTGGACAACAAGAGCTTCCTTTTAGATCGAGCGATGTTAGAGAAGAAGCTATCCAAGTCTTCTGGCAAATGATCTGCATTTTCAGTGATGTCCAGCAGTAAATTGTTTTCTAAAAAAGAAGGCTCGAAAACTTGCCGGGTCTGCCTTTCGTTTGAGACAAAGGTCCAATCTCTACCTTTTTTTTACTCTGTAAGATGATGAAGACTTACACGTGGGTTCCGTGGACTCCCCTCCTCTTGAATGTGCGATTTGCTTTTTCCATGGAACTTACTGATAACTGGGATGAGTTAGTCAAGACATTCTTCCCCCTGGCCACAGAGGCAAGTCTCGAGTGGAACCGTGGCCTCCTACCCACTCACGAGGACATATGTCTGGAGACACAAGTGCAGGCGTTTCTGGTTCAGCTGCAGTGCCTCTTAGGAGTGACATAAGAGCAACCTAGGCTGGGTGCGGAGTCTCACACTTGTAATCCTAGCACTTTTGGGAGGCCAGGACAGGAGGGTCGCTTGAAGTTAGGAGTTCAAGGCCACTCTGGGTGACAGAGCGACCCCTGTCTTTACAGAAAGTAGAAAAATTAGCTGGGCATGGTGGTGCCCACCTGTGATCCTAGCTACCTGTACTCCCACTGAGGCGGGAGGATCACTTGAGCCCAGGAGTCTGGGGCTGTGGTAGTGAGCTATGATCACGCACTGCATGCCAGCCTGGGTGACAGAGGAAAGCCCTGTCTCAAAAAAAAAGATGGCATTGTTGTCCTCATTGGTTCCTTACCCAAGATAAACTTGAGTCCCACTATACTAGGGTTTAAAAGTGTACCTCAAGTTTGCCATTCAGATGGCAAACCATACCCACTGAAGAATGTGAGGAAAATTGATTGATTCCTGTGCTGTGCAGCTTCTACCATCAGCAGAGACTAGTTTACCCAAGATGTTTCTTGTTATACGACATTACTAGTTGTGTTTTCGTCTATATTGTTTTATCAGAGAAGATAAAGTTCACACAGCACTCTGTTTTTACCTCTAGTATGGAGAGCATTGACCACGTTTTATTATAGCTGTTTATTTGTATGCTTGTCTTCCCGTCCAACTTTGCATACCTCTGGTGCAAGGACTGTTCACATTAATTTGGTATCTCTAGTACTTGTTACAATAGTTGATGTCTAGTAGGTGCTTAATAAATAGAATACTATGAGGCTGGGTGTGGTGGCTCACACCTATCATCTCGGCACTTTGGGAGGCCAAGGTAGGAGGATCACTTGAGCCCAAGAATTCAAGATCATAGCAAAATCTCTACAAAAATAGATCAAAACTTAGATGGGTGTAGCAGCATGTGCTTGTAGTCCCAGCTACTTGGGAATCTGAGGTGGAAGGATTATCTGAGCCTGGGAAGTTGAGGCTACGATTGAGCCGTGTGAGGCTGGAAGTTGAGTCGTGATCCTGCCACCGCACTCTGTCCTGGGTGGCAGAATGAGACCCTGACTCAAAAAAAAAAAAAAAAACCTAACAAAAAAACACAGTAATATGTATGCAGTGCTTGGGTGGTATAGGCTTAGACTGCAAGATAAAATGCTAATGTGCTTAACTGGGAACTAAGCCAGACATTCTCCAGCTTAAACACTTGCAGGCTCTACCTCAACATCTTGGTACTGTTTACTCAGTTCCTTCTGTGTATCACGTGAACCGTGTCTTAGCTTTTCATGCCTCCATGCAGTGGAGGTGAGTGGAAGAAACGCAGCGTTTAGGTGCAAACAGTTCTCCCCAGTTGTGGGGAGAACCCCAAGCAGAACTTGAGCTGTGATGTGTTTTGATTTGTTGGTGCCGGCCAGTGTGGCTTTCTTGAATGAACTTAGTTTTTATTCTGAAATATTTAAAACCTACAGAAAAGTTAAGAGGATATTACAATGAACGTCACTTATCCTGCACATCTCATACATATGCACCACAACCATTTTTTGGCCACGAGATTTGAAGGTAAGTTTCAGACTTAACAACAGTGAAGTTGATTGTAATTTTCTGCAACTTTGGTGCTTGCTTTGAATACTTGTGAGGATGCTTCATGATTTGACTCTTATTTGTGTGTGGGAAGGATTGGAGGAGTCATAGTTAAGAGATTATTTGGGGGAATACTGGCATTGAGTGACATGTTATATCAAGCTGGGATTTTAGGCCAGGCATGGTGGCTCATGCCTGTAATCCTAGCACTTTGGGAGGCCAAGGTCGGAGGATTGCTCGAACCCAGGAGTTTGAGACCAACCTAGGCAACATAGCAAGACCTCGTCTACACCAAAATTAAAAAAAAATTAGATACATATGGTGTTGTACACCTGTAGTCTCGGCTACTTGGGAGACTGAATGGGAGGATCACCTGAGCTCAGGAAGTTGAGGCTGCGATGAGCCATGATTGTGCCACTGCACTCTAGCCTGGGTAACAGAGTGAGATTCCAACTTAAAAAAAAAACAAGCAAAAAGTTGGGATATTAACAGAATAGCTTTTGGTAATTGTAGTATCATTTCTTGAATTAACCTCCCCCCACCCCTTTTGTTTAAATG